AGAAATTGGAAGATCGGGAGAATCCTTACAAGAAAAATTCAGGCACAAGCAGGACTAAACAGAACAATTACCAGTAGGGAAAATTGAAGAGGTTATTAATAATCTTAAACCAAATTTCTCCCCCAGACCTGACAGTTTTACCTCTAACTTTTATAAAATTTTCCAATCCTAAATTATCTCTAATTTAGAAATCCTATTTAATGAGATATTAAAAAAATAGGACCATCCCTGAAACATGGAAGAGATCTGAAATAATTACAATTTTAAAACCCAAAAAAGAGGAGACCAACCCGAATTCTGGCTTTTGTATTTGATCACATGTCGGCCACTTCCCAAATGCCTAGGACTATGTGATATATCGGCGAATAATGCATGCAGATCCGAGTAGGGTGGCCTTTTGCAACTGACAGGTGGCAATTTTGTCAGCGCCAATTGTTTTTAAGTGCAGGCCACGGTCTTTAGGCACTGCACCCAGTGTGCCGATCACCACTGGGACCCCCTTGACTGGCTTGTGCCAGAGTCTTTGCAGTTCTATCTTTAAATCATATTGTGTCAGCTTTTCCAGTTGCTTCTCGTCAATTCTGCTGTCACCTGGGATTGCAACATTGACAATCCATATTATTATCATCATCATCATCATTATTATTATTATTATTATTATTATTATTATTAACACAACAAAATGAGTCCACAGCAGACATTCTGCTGGCTGTTGTACTGGATCACACATCGGACACTTCTCAAGTATCTAGGACTGTGTGATGTATCGGCAAATAATGCGTGCAGATCCCAATAAGGTGACCTTCTGCAGCTTGCCGATTGTGTTTAAGTGCAGGCCAAGGTCTTTAGTCACTGCACCCAGTGTGCTAATCGCCACTGGGACCACCTTGACTGGCTTGTGCCATATTATTATTATTATTATTATTATTATTATTATTATTATTAGGTTCTTGTGGGTATTTTCGGGCTATATGGCCATGTTCTAGAGGCATTTTCTCCTGACGTTTCGCCTGCATCTATGGCAAGCATCCTCAGAGGTAGTGACCACACCTCACTACCTCTGAGGATGCTTGCCATAGATGCAGGCGAAACGTCAGGAGAAAATGCCTCTAGAACATGGCCATATAGCCCGAAAATACCCACAAGAACCTAGTGATTCCAGCCATGAAAGCCTTCAACAATACATTATTATTATTATTATTATTATTATTACTTGACTGGTAATGATTTCTATTTATATCCTGACTCTCTCACAAAATCAATGCTCAAGGTGTGATCATTTTAAAAAGAATGATACAGACAAAAATTGAACACTAAATGAAGTTATTCCCATTATGAAAATGATCTAAAACTACGCTTGAAAAAGACAAAAGGCAATTAAATGATAAGAAACAATTAAAACTGTTCGTTTTAGAACAAAAGTGCACCCTCAGCCCTTTCTTTAAAAACTTTCCAGTCTTAAAAGTCAGTCAGAATAACACAACACACAAGGACTGTTGGAGCTGCAGCCCAATGCAATTACATTAGAGAAATCTGTCCTAAGGAAGCATTTGAGGCAAGACTCATCGTAACTCGCAGGGATAAGCAGATTTGGCCTTTTGCCATTTTCTGCACTTAAAACTTTCAAACATAAACATAGTCCTAACATGGTAGACATTTTAGAATAGATTATATATCTCTGTTTGAATTTTGCACGCAGGAGCAGATTGCAGATTGTATTACAAGACGGTTTCCGCAAGACTTGAGGGATGGTCTTCTGCCTCAATTCTGGGGACACTAGAAATTTTCCCTGATGACAGACAAAAAAACGTAACATGTCTCATAGTTAGGGAAACCAAACAAAAGCCTTTAGTTTATGTGATCGTTTGTCCCCCAAATGTCACTATGTTAACACAGGAGACAAAGAGCGAGTAGCTTTCTGTTCCTTTTGAGAAGCATGTTCTCTCAAAAAAGAATTAGGTAGAATTAGCTTCAGGATGGGATGGACCAGGCCAGATGGGCATAATGGTTTGCGTTTGGCTAGCTATCTAGCCAATTGACTCTCAGGAGATACCTTGCCTCTCTCCATGCTCACAGGAGGACTCTGAGCCTTGCCATGTGCTCAGATACTTTATTATTGTTTATACTACTACTACTACTACTAATAATAATAATAATAATCTTTATTTATACCCCGCCACCATCTCCCCAACATGAGGCCAAGCCCAATAAAAATACAACAATTATGTTCATTTATACCCCACTTTTTCTCTCCATAAAGGAAACTCAAAGCAGCTTACATTAAAGGTATTTCAATACCATTTCAAATCTACAAATATCCAATCATTAAAACAGAATGTAATATCAATTGTATTTTAAAAATTCACCATTAAAATCCATGCAACATATTCAAAGCTAAAACCACAGCACCCCCTGACCTGATCATAAAAACTTTTAAACTGTTCAGGTCCTGCTTACCTATCTGACCGCATCTCCTCATACCAACCTGCCCAATTGTTAAGAACTTCTAGCAAGGTCCTCCTCTCGTTGCTGTTGCCATCGCAAATGCAGTTGCAGTGATGAGAGAGAGGGCCTTCTCGGTGGCTACTCCAACTCTTTGGAACTCCCTCCCCAAGGAGGTTAAAACAGCCCCTTCCCTGACATCTTTTTGAAAGCAGCTAAAGACTTTACTGTTTGTGCAAGCTTTTGATGAAGACACTTAGCTGTAATGACAGGAAGGCCAACTTTTATTGAGTTATGATAATGTTTACCATCTGTCTTGTGGAGTTGCCTGAAATAATTGTATTAGACCAATGTCTTTAAATATGTTTATTTATTTCATATTGTAAATTTGTTTTTATGGGTTATTGTTTTACATATGCTTATTGTTTTGTATTGTCTTTTATATAATGCTGTAAGTCAATTTGGGTCCCATTTAGGGAGAAAGGTGGGATATAAATAAAGATTATTATTATTTGAAACACAACAAGATGAGTCCACGGCAAACACTCTGCTGATTGTTATATTGGATCACACGTCCGACACTTCCCAAGTGTCTAGGACTGTGTGATGTATTGGCAAATAATGCGTGCAGATCCCAGTAAGGTGGCCTTTTGCAGCTGGTAGATGGTAATCTTGTCAGCACCAATTGTGTTTAAGTGCAGGCCAAGGTGTTTAGACGCTGCACCCAGTGTGCCAGTCACCACTGGGACCACCCTGACTGGCTTGTACCAGAGTCTTTGCAGTTCTTGATATTATACTGACACAAAAACACAGTATGTCACAGCAAATGAGATCTATATGCTGGATTTCGTATCACAAAGTCACAGCAAATGAGATATATGCTGGATTTCGTATCACAAAATCACAAGTCGAACACTTCCCAAGCGTCTAGGACTGTGTGATGTATTTTCGAATGATGCGCACAGATCCAAGTAAGGTTGCCTTTTGCAGTTGACAGATAGTGATTTTGTCGATGTTTATTGTTTCCAAAGTTGGCACGGCACCCAGTGTGCCAATGACCACTGGGACCACCTGTACTGGTTTATGCCCGTGCCATTATTATTGTTGTTGTTGTTGTTAAAAGCTTTGACTAGAAAGAGGTGTGTCCCTAACAAGCAAGGGAAAGGAGGAAAGGAAGACCGGCACCATATACATATTTTTCCTTCCTTCCTTCCTTCCTTCTTTCTATCTATCCATCCATCCACTCTCCTTCTCTCACACACAATTGTTTCTCTCATGCACAGAACTGCTCTTTCAACCTGCTCAAGCATTAGAACTTCATTCAACCTTGTAATGTCAATAATAATAATAATAATAATAATAATAATAATAATGTATTGATTTATGCTTATCTTGCTTTTAAACATACAGAGTATGCGTATAGGAATTCCCAATGCAGTCACTACATCTGGCACACAGCATCAACTTAAGCAAGCCAAACCATCTTTTAATCAATGCATCTCAAAATGTGGGATACAAGAGGGGGGAAAACAAAGACCAAAACAAAAAGGGAGTGGGGATAAGCCTAAGACATTGGCCTGGAATGGATGCCTCTGGAACACCCTGTCCCATTTTATGGCAAAGAGCTGATAAGGGCAGAAAAGGAATGGCACACATCTCCTGCTATTTTTACAAATGCCTCTATTTTAAGTAACTTTTAAAAAGTGATGTCAGATTAATGGGGATATTACTTCCTCCATTTCATTGAGCTAATAGGTTTTTTAAAAACTTGTACTTAGTTTTAATTTTGCTGTCAGCTGCCTTGGGCCCAGTGCTGGAAGAAAAGTGGGATATGAATCACAAATCCAATATATATATAACATTATTGGATTAACTGTAGGAATATTTGGGGATCTATAGCAGAGTGAAGCGCAGCTTAGCCAGTGCTATATATGAGCTTATGGTAGGAAACAGGTGACAAAATATGTAGGATGTGATGGAAAGAAAAGTAAAAACCTACTTTTATTGTTGCAGGTAATATATCTCAGATAAGAGAAGTAGATAGGCAAAAGAAAGGTATCTAATTCTGGTAGAAGAGTCCCTAACGCTGCTTCTTATGTGTATCTGTAAGGCATCTTAATGCAGAGATGCTCCCTTCTAAACAAACGATAATAAATGTATTCTCGAAGGCTTTCACGGCTGGAATCAATAGGATGTTATGTGGTTTCTGGGCTGTACGGCCATGTTCTAGTAGCATTTTTTCCTGATGTTTCACTAGCATATGTGGATGGCTGCTTCAGAGCCCGGAAACCACACAACACCTCAAAGTCCACTAAAGACATTTGGGATGAAAGGGTAAGTGGCCTCTCCATGCAGGCAGGAAGCAAAACACCTTGAGCTACATAGATCTAGGAAACTCAGGTGTAAACAGGTCAACAGGCCTGCATCACAGTTTTCCCTCTGTGCCAAATTGCTCTCTTCATAGAAGTAATTGTGGATGCTTCTTCACTTCCAACATTGATGCCTTTTGCCATCATACCTAAAAGGAAGCCCTCTAACCTGCTGTTCTTTTCTTGTAGAGACTCCTTGGCCCCTTCCGCGGGACTTGTGCCCAGTCTGGCTCTTTCTCGACGTCCTCTTTTCCACGGCCTCCATCATGCACCTCTGCGCCATCTCCCTGGACCGCTACATCGCCATCAAAAAGCCAATCCAGGCCAGCCAGTACAACTCACGGGCCACCACCCTCATCAAAATCACCGTGGTCTGGCTGATCTCAATAGGTACGTGGCCGTCCTCAAAGGAGTAGTATACCTTTCACGCTTACTATAGCTTGGGGTGAAGGAGGAGGGGAGTGAGTACTGCTGCACAAAATAAGAGGAGCTTAGATAATATGAGCCCTTGGTTCAATTCATCAGATGAAGTCCAAGCTCTTGGAGCTTTGAACTTGATCCAGAATCCCAAGCAGAATGGGCAGAAGGCCACTTCTACAAAAACCCTGACCAAATTTCACACTATCTGCCTAAATCAAAGGCTGATGTTACACAACCGATCATTCTTTCCCTGCCGAAATAAGGCTAGAACACAAGATCGCACACACATTCCTGGACCGTGTCCTTAAGCTAGGCCTCAACCCAAAGGAAGGAAACATCTGACACCTTGGATAAAACACATCAAAGCGTGGAAGCCCAACCAAGTCCATGGAAAACTGTGTAATATATTTCAGCTGTAAAAGCTGGGTTTCCAGACCAAGATCCACAAACCCTCCAAGCACCAGAAGATTGAATGTTGGCTTTGGGTGCCAGGGGATGCTCTAAGCCCAGCAAGCATCCATTTCTCGTGTGTACGAATCAGGCGCTGCCTTCGACACTTCTGATTTGAAAATGGAGTGAGTTATGGAAGGTGAATTGCCGCACTAAACCCATCAGGAAAGAAGGGACAGTGAAGAATGAATGGCCTTGGAGAACTGGGAGTGTGACTGTTAAGATGTAAAGGAAGGGGAGAAACCATGAGCATATTATCAAAAAGTACACAAAGCAAAAGGATCTAATAATAAATGAGGTGCAAATGAATGGTTTATATTATGCTCCTCTGTGAGTTTTGAACTCTCTGCAGATGGCACGTTGCCTGTGGTTAATGTCTAGAGGGTTTTTGCACAAAATGTAAACTGCAGACAAGAGAACAAATGAGGGGAAGGGAGGAACTGATCCGGCGACTCCAAACGGCTAGGAAGCAAACGCCACAGATTAATCGCACAGCAAGCCACACAGAAGACGTTGGAAGCAACGTCAAGAATAAGAATGACTCACAAATCAGTTACACAGAAGACAATGGGAAAGTGAAAAAAAAGGGATGCAACCTTTTTGGCCAATGCCTACACCCCTGATAAAAAAAGCACTGCTTCCTACATGAATACATTTATGAGAACCTCTGGCAATCAGAGGAAACAATAGGACCACTTTGGAAGCCAAAGAAAGGAAACGGATAAGAGACAGAACTCTTTGAAAATTGCTTTCTTGAGCGGCGTTAATCAAGCACTCCCTATCTTATCACTTATTAGATGCACTCAGTTTCTGAACTCAAACTTCTCTTGGGGCTCAGAGAAGTTTTAGAACTGATTGGAAGATAAATCAGTGTCTGCTGGATTAGAGAAACCATTATGCTGAGGGATCTTCTTCTTTTCATGGATCCTCCCAAGACCAACTCAACATGCCTCTGACAACTAAGATCTGGGAACTAACAGAAGGATGATGCCTTCAGCACCTAGTAATGGGCTTTTCCGGGTTCCCAAAAGTTACTTTTTTGGACTGCACTGGCAGAATTCCCTAACCAGCATGTCTGATAAGTGTCCATTGCCAGGGAGTGAAAACTTTGGATCATTCCAGTCCAAAAGGATTTCCAGTTAATTCTGGGCTTACAAAACCAGTGATGTTTTATTTTAATGCCTCATTCCAGGCTATAATCCAATGTGGGTTTTCTACATACTGAGGTTTTAAAATCTGTTATTACTTGAGAACATTTTTACACCAAAACCCCAAGGTTCATAAAGTTGTTAATAATGTATTTACAACATTCCAAAATAGACAAAAGTTCTTAGGATGGGGAAATATAAGTTTAACTTCCTCAATCATCTCAGATGTTCCAGAAGATATGTCTAAATTTTGGTTCAATGCTGATTTTAGCAGAAACAGCATCCAAAAAGTTATTGACAAGGGCAGTCTAGAACTAGACCAGTGGTTCTCAACCTGTGGGTCCCCAGATGTTTTGGCCTTCAGCTCCCAGAAAACCTAACAGATGGTAAACTGGCTGGGATTTCTGGGAGTTGTAGGCCAAAACACCTGGAGACCCACAGGTTGAGAACCACTGTTCTAGACCACGGGAAAGGAGATGTACAGGGAGTAATGTCTACTGATTACAATCTCTTAATAGTCCTCAGTTGTTCTCACTCATGAAAAGGCTTCAAGCTGACTGAGTTTCTCTTTCTTCTACAGGTATTGCCATCCCAATCCCGATTCGTGGCATAGGAGATAGTGACAACTCTCCCAACTTCACCTGTGTGTTAAAACCCGAACGTTTTGGAGATTTCATCATATACGGTTCAGTAGCTGCCTTCTTCGTCCCCCTGGCCATCATGGTAGTGACGTATTTTCTCACCATCCGAGTCTTGCGCAAGAAAGCTTACTTGATCAATAAACCACCTCAGCGCATGACCTGGAGTACCGTATCCACAGTCTTCCAAAGGGACATAACACCGGGATCTTCACCGGAAAAAGTGGCCATGTTGGATGGCCCCAGGAAGGACAAGCCCGTTTCCAACGGGAATGAAGAACTGCTGATGCGCAGGATGTCCACCCTTGGGAAGAAGTCTGTTCAGACCATCACCAATGAACAGCGGGCTTCCAAAGTCTTGGGGATTGTATTCTTTCTCTTTCTGCTGATGTGGTGTCCATTCTTTATCACCAACATCACTTCTGTTTTGTGCACATCCTGCAGTCCGGATCGTATCCAAATGCTCATGGAGATATTTGTTTGGATAGGGTACGTTTCCTCAGGTGTGAACCCACTGGTCTACACCCTTTTCAACAAGACGTTCCGGGAAGCTTTTGGCAGGTACATCACTTGCAATTACCAGACCTCAGCTCCGGGGAATCCCCTTCGGAAATGCTCCAGCCGGCTCTCATTCAGAAACTCTGTGGCCGAGAACTCAAAGCTTTTCATGATGCACCATGGGATGCGGAATGGGATCAACCCAGTCATGTACCAAACCCATAGGCTCTGCAGCTCACCAATCCAGTCTTCGTCAGCCATACTGTTGGATACGTTGCTACTTACAGAGAATGAAGTGGACAAGACAGAAGAGCAAGTCAGCTATGTATAGCTAATGGCCTAAGCACACTGACAAATGCTAGCATGTGTTTGTGGTTTTCATGTTATTTATACAAATCTTAATTATAATTTCAGCCATTTGTTTCCTATAGAAAAGGAGGCTTTCCTTGTACCAGACCACCTCCATATATTCCAGCGTAACAGCAATTTAACCTGTTACTACTCCAACAACAACAAGTCTTTGAGCACTGTACTTTATAATTGGAGGAGTTCAAATAAATTCAGCTATGATAATTTCATGTCTCAGATATCAGATTCCTCCAACCCCTCTCTTTTGAAAGCACAGTTCGGTTAAGTCAACCATACCCAGGACTGTCAGCTGGAAGCAATTGGAGGAAGATTCAGGACATATTAAGTGCATTTTCAAAATGTATAGTTAAACTGTGGAGCTTAATTGTCACAAGATATAATAATAATTGCCAAACTTCATGGGTCTGAAAGGGAACTCAACAAATCCATGGGGATTCAGCCATACATGGTTATTAGTCAAGATAACTATATGGTACCTCTGGTATCAAAAACAGCATACCTTTGTGTATCATTTCTTGAGGAGCATAAAAGTGGGTGGAAATGCACTCTTAACTTATCTCGGAAACAAAGATAGACAAGTATAGCAGAGGCCAAGCAGATAATTAACATTATTTTGATTATTTTTTTCTATACAATGGGTGGTGAGATGTCCTTCAAAGAGTCCAGGTTCAAGTGACTGCTCAGATATTACATGGGTTAGAGATGTGGAGTGAAAATGGGATATTCATTAGAGTCCTGGAAATAGAACAGAATACATTTCTCCAGTGATGATTTTATACTGGGAACTCAGCACCCAACCTTTGAGCAGAGGCCAGCTGGGCCTCCATTAAAATAAGGGCGGCATTGAAATTTCATAGATGTATGCACCTAACACCAGAAGAGCAGTTGGAAGAGGTGAGCATAGAAAAAATCAAAGTGGCATTATGCATAAACCGTAATAAGTGTGTAATTTGCACAAAGTGATTAGAGGTCGGAGTAGCATGAAAAAGAGAACAAAGGGACAAGCTATGAGGCCAAGCTGGAGGGGATATCACACATTTGCAATCATCTGATCTTCTCAAATGTATTAATTTACCTAAAGAGAACTAATGACCTTGACATCTCAAAGTTTCTTGCACAGCGCTTTTCTGGAATATGCTGACGGTTTACAGCTTCTGTCAGATCGGACAGCAGATACACATGATTCTGAGTCTTAATGGATCTGCAGTTGTAATTTGAATCAGATGGTAATAAGATTCATAAGATCCTTATTACAGAGTTCTCTTGGAAAGATAAATTCAGAGGGGTTTGTCTTTGCCTTCCACTGAGGCTGAGAGAAAGTGACTTGCTCAATGAATTATCATGGCTGGGTGGAGATCTAAAACTGGGTCACTGTCATAGAATCATAGAGTTGGAAGAAACCTCCTGGGCCATCCAGTCCAACCCCATTCTGCCAAGAAGCAGGAATATTGCATTCAAAGCGCCCCTGACAGATGGCCATCCAGCCTCTGTTTAAAAGCTTCCAAAGAAGGAGCCTCCACCACACTCCGGGGCAGAGAGTTCCACTGCTGAACGGCTCTCACAGTCAGGAAGTTCTTCCTCATGTTCAGATGGAATCTCCTTTCTTCTAATTTGAAGCCATTGTTCCACATCCTAGTCTCCAGGGAAGCAGAAAACAAGCTTGCTCCCTCCTCCCTGTGGCTTCCTCTCACATATTTATACATGGCTATCATATCTCCTCTCAGCCTTCTCTTCTTCAGGCTAAACATGCCCAGCTCTTTAAGCCGCTCTTCATAGGGCTTGTTCTCCAGACCCTTGATCATTTTAGTCGCCCTCCTCTGGACACATTCCAGCTTGTCAATATCTCTCTTCAATTGTGGTGCCCAGAATTGGACACAATATTCCAGATGTGGTCTAACCAAACAGAATAGAGGGGTAGCATTACTTCCCTAGATGTAGACACTATGCTCCTATTGATGCAGGCCAAAATCCCATTGGCTTTTTTTGCCGCCACATCACATTGTTGGCTCATGTTTAACTTGTTGTCCACGAGGACTCCAAGATCTTTTTCACACGTACTGCTCTCGAGCCAGGCATTGTCCCCCATTCTGTATCTTTGCATTTCGTTTTCCTGCCAAAGTGGAGTATCTTGCATTTGTCACTGTTGAACTTCATTTTGTTAGTTTTGGCCATTCATCTCTCTAATCTGTCAAGATCGTTTTGAATTCTGCTCCTGCCTTCTGGAGTATTGGCTCTCCCTCCCTCCCAATTTGGTGTCTTCTGCAAACTTGATGATCATGCCTTCTAACCCTTCATCTAAGTCATTAATAAAGATGTCCAATACTCATTCCACCACAATGGATCTCACTTAGTCAGTAGCTATGAAAAATGGTCAAGTAGTCGTGTTAATAGACAAACCTGTTCTGCAGGTAAATAAACACCAGCCCTACATGCATACAGGTGACCACAAAAGAAGGCCTTTGTGCTGATGTGCCATGTGTTTTAAAATACATCTTATTGAAAGTCATTTCCAAAAATTCCAATTCAAAGGCCAACTGACTGCAGCCAATTAAAATGGTGCCTGATTCCATCTTAATGAACTAAGACGAGGGCCATGTTGTGGAGAATTGATTCCTGCAGGGAATAAATTCTTTCCATTCCTTTGGCATATCTGAGGTATTTATGCAATGCAGCAATTTAACTTTCTGCAGTGCTGCAGTATAACCATGGTCTGCTGTTGCTGGGAAAGCACACGCCGATCATTTCAGTACATGATCTAATCCAGGAATGGGCAAACTTTGGCCTTCTGGGTGTTTTGGACTTCAACTCCTACAATTTCCCACTTGTGTGTCTTACTATAAGAAGTCCTTGTGAATTTTACAGAAGATGGGATTTATAGGAAATGCCTTAGTCAGTTGTTTAGAGTGACATTACTGATGACTTTAAACAAAGATGAACTTGAAAAAAATCCTCGTATGATATTATAGGCAGGACTTCTTTCCAATTGCAGTAAAAGGCAAGGTGTAAATCAGAGGTCCTCAAACTTTTTAAACAGAGGGCCAGGTCACAGTCCCTCAAACTGTTGGAGGCCAGATTATAATTTGGAAAAAAAAAACATGAATGAATTCCTATGCACACTGCACATATCTTATTTGTAGTGCAAAAAACACTTTAAAACAATAATTAAAATAATTAATAAATAGTATTTCAATGGGAAGTGTGGGTCTGCTTTTGGCTGATGAGATAGGATTGTTGTTGTTGTTGTTGTTGTTGTTGTTGTTGTGTGCTTTCAAGTCTTTTCAGACTTAGGTTGACCCTGAGTGAGGGCCGGGTAAATGACTTTGGAATGCCGTATCCAGCCCGCGGGCCTTAGTTTGGGGACCCCTGGTGTAAATGATAGGGAAAAGAGGAAAGAGTACATGATAAAGTAAAATTTAATATATCCAATATTCCAACCATATAATCCCAGGTGTAGATACTGTATCTACTAAAGTTCTATATGCAAATAACATGACATGGCCCAAAGATCTGTTTGTTGCAGGGCTGGAAGCACCCAGAACAGACCTGCACAATCTGTCATCCTCCAAGTGTTTTGGACTTCAGCTCCCAGAATTCCTGACCATTGGACAAGGTGGTCAGAACTTCTGTGAGTTGGAGTCTCAAACATCTGGAGAGCCACAGGTTGTGCAGGCCTAACTAATATAATAATAACAATAATAACAATAATAATAATAATAATAATAAACTTTATTTATACCCCGCCACCATCTCCCCAAGGGACTCGGAGTGGCTTACATGGGGCCAAGCCCAGCAACACATCAAAAACAGCAAGCAATAATAAAACAACAAGCAATAAACAAAAATAAACAATACAGTTAATATAACTCATAGGTAGACAATAACACACAAGATTTTAAAAATCTACGGCTTTAAAAATAAATGCTGGACATGAACAGAGGATGTATCTAGTAGAAGGGTTTTAAACCAAAAGTAGAGAACAACCCAACGGGTAATTAAAGTACTTCTCAGGGTATTTTGCATGGGATTGTTTCCTTATTCAGGGAATGCACACTGGAACAGCCACGTTTTCAGGTTCCTCCTAAAGACTGCCAATGTGGGGGCTTGTCTGATATCCTTGGGGAGTGAGTTCCAGAGTCAGGGGGCAACCATAGAGAAGGCCCTCTCCCTCGTCCCCACCAATCGCGCCTGCAAGGGAGGTGGGAGCGAGAGCAGGGCCTCCCCAGATGAACGGAGAGATCGTGTGGGTTCGTACACAGAAATGCGATCACGCAGGTAGGCGCGTCCCAAACCATTCAGGGCTTTGTAGGTCAGAACCTGCACCTTGAATTGGGATTGGAAAATGAACGGCAGCCAATGGAGCTCCTTAAACAGGGGGGTTAACCGCTCCCTGTAAGTCGCACCAGTAAGTAGCCTGGCTGCCACCCGTTGGACCAAGTGAAATTTCCGAGCCGTCTTCAAGAACAGCCCCACGTAGAGTGCATTACAGTAGTCCAATCTGGAGGTGACTATAGAACAATCTTTCCCAATGAGACGTAAATAGAAGTGTCTTCAGCCCCATCCTACAAGAAAATTGCAAGGTATACTGGGAAACGGCGCTCCATGCAGTCATGCCGGCCGCATGACCTTGGAGGTGTCTACGGACAACGCTGGCTCTTTGGCTTAGAAATGGAGATGAGGACCACACCCCAGAGTCAGACATGACTGGACTTAATGTCAGGGGACTACCTTTACCTTTTTATACTGGGAAATATAGTCCAAAATATATGGCAGGGAAGATCCTTCGAAATGGCAGAATTAGTACGGACTGGGGATACACTTTGAAAAACAAGACATATCTCAGCCTTGACCACTTCTATGATAACAGATGCACTGGAAGTGACTACTGGCCAGACTGCTGGTTTATGATCTTCTCTGGTACGTGATGCCAAGTTCTCAGGAAGATGCCTTTCCTGCTCCTGCTGCAGGAGGATCCCTTTTCACTGAAGATGCTAGGCATTCAATCTAAAATCCTACATGCAAAGCAAGGGTCCAATTACTTTGGGCTTTAATGAGTTGCAAAACCTTACCACATTCTCAAAGAAGCATCCTTAAATTGAAAACCATTAATTCAGTTGGCTAACATTAAAGCTTTGCAACAAATAAATGTGCTTTTACTTGCACTATCTGGTAAATACGACTCCAACCACAGACTCATTGTCATTGTGTCTGTTGTTGCTTCCTGAGCAGAGCACTG